AAGGGAGGATCTCTGGCGACAAATTGCCTTCCTTCTGAGGTTCAGGCTTTTTTTGCTCGGGTCTCTCTCCTTGTCTCAAAAGTTATATTGCAATTTCCTTATTACTGTCCCCATCTTCTGTTCTCCGCGGGCACTTTCTCGAGCAGCGCATTCCTCGTCGTGAGATTAAAATTCTCCATATTTCCCTTAATCGTCCTCGCTCAAGTCCAACTTCGCGTGAGATGGACACTTTGGCGGAATTGGCGAATGGGGTGAGAAATGCGGAAAGTTCCTGTGCGGAATCTCGCGCTTTTTTGGCGCAATAGACAAATTCATTAACCGAGTCTTGTGTAATCAATCGCTTTGCTCCTCGTGCCCTGGATTTCATCAATATTTTAGAGTTTAATTACTTTGGTTTGTTCTCCAATTTCCCCCCACCGCCAGAGACTTTTCCTGTCGCTCTCGGAGCGCCATTGAATTCACTCATTGCATATGCAAGAAGTTGTGCGGGGGTGGCAAACAGTGAAAAAGGGGGTAAATTCCAATTTAAATTTATTTCACAAAGACAAATTCACAAGAAACCCTCCCCATCCCCCCACCCCAAACCCTCTTGCAACTGTACAGCTTCATCTTAAAGCCATGACTATTCGAGGTGCAGAGATTACAGCAGAAGCACCACATTTCCATCGCAATTTCCCAACCACATGTGTTGCGTTTATATGCAATTTCGGTGGCACTTGAGGGCCTTCTGAATTCATTAAGACTAATGTAAGAATCTCTTGGGATTTGCTCCAACACCACACAACAGGCAAATTCTCTGCACTCGCAGACATCATGTCGAAGACAATGCACAAATCCTTTGGCAGCCATAAAACTCCACAGTCTCTCCTCTCTGTCAGACAACACATTCTCATCCCCATCGAAGCCGTGGCGGAGAAACGCCACAGTTTTTTATTTCCTCTCCCCATTCATCATAAATCAATTTATTCGGCATAAAAATGTTGCGAGCGCCCAAGTAAAAGGCATAAATTGCATGCAATTGAGCAGGGAAATCAATACGCGAGTCACCAGAGCTCAGAATGGATTGAATGGATGACGTAAGCCGCATGGTGAAAGTGTTCTAAATCTAAGATTGGCGCCGCTCTGCCTACGACGCTCGCGTGACTGCCGACCATTTGCCATGCTTCGCCCGACTAGACGGACTCCCGATTCGCTCCCCTCGACCATTTTTCCTTTCTTTCCACAACAAAGAACACCTGAGATTGAGCCTGACGTCACGGGGCGCCGATGTCGTAAATTGTGCCATCGTGAGCAAGTGTGGCAAGAATCGGAAATTGGGGAATCTCCAGAGCACCTCCATTGAATTCATTAACTGGCAGAGGACATAAAACACTCAATATCTGTACATCTGCTGGCATTTTAAATGCTAGTTAGACGTTCCATTTCACTGGAAATTATAGTGTATTGAATGCTGACACGAAATGCAGTGATTTATATTGAACCGCTTTAAGAATACTGCAAGTAAATCGTACTGTTTCTTCACTGTCCAAGTCTGCGAATCAATTTTATGCTTGATTTTATGTCTGTTGTCCTAGTTTTTAAGGATGAATCCGAGACATTTCTCCAGTAATTAACAGTATTTGATGAAACTTCTCTATTTTTATAGACTCGAAACCTTCTTATCCATGTATTGCGATAGAAGAAAAAGGGTGTGATGAACCCTTAAACTGTGTTATATTGCGTTCTAATATATAGACACGCCAACAAATTATCACATGTGACTAAGAATTGCTTTCGGAATTAAAGATTTTATACTCCTTTTGTCTAAAATAATCTGTAAAATGTCACTTCCATGCTCAAAACCCATCATTTTGTGTCTCTCTGAGTATCTGCATATTACAGCAATGTCGCATTTTTTGTCACTGTGGCAAACACTGGGAATATTTTATGCATTCATGGTGTTTATCCATATCGCAAAAACATAATGGAATAGTTGAGCTCTTTCCATTTCCATTTTTTTCCCCGCGCGCGGGGGCTTTTCGCTGTGATGGAGCCCACTATCAGTGTGAAATTCACACAGATTGCACCCGGGCAATTGATTGTAAAGTGTTAATTTAATTCCACTGCTCGCTCGGAGGTTGGGGAGAATGAATTTAAAATATTTATTTCCGATTTCCCGACTTCAAACGGAAATTTTATTGGCAAACAAGACACGTGAGTGAACAACGTTCACAATCACGCGGTGCATTTTCTACGTTCGTTTGACGGGGGCGGAAAGGGTGGGGGCGGGGGGGGGGGGGTGAAAAGGGCGGCGATATTTCTGTGTGAAATGGTGTATTACAATTGATGATTTGAGGGACATAAATTTTGCATCAACACATTTATGGTGCGCATTTGCTCGTACCTTTTCCACGCCAGTGCACCTCGTATGACTGATGGATGCTCAATGGTATGCATTATGCATAGTGCTGCGGCGCTTTCGCTGGGCGGGCACTGTAAGGACTGCCAGGACTGCTCTTGCCAACATGCAAATTGTCAGTTTACCCATCGCGATGCACTCCGCGGGAAATCAACAAGGGATTGTCACGAAGAGTCGGAGAAAAGACGTGCGAGTGTATCTTAGTGAGGATACCCAACAATTTGTCCAATTACAGTTCGGTGGCAAGAAGTGACGCGCACGTTCGCGCCGAAAGACATTTGATTGAGCCAAGACGCTCGCGAGAGATGAAAGGCGAATGTGAATAAATTTGGAATATGAATATTTTGGCACTCTTCGCTCACTTCGTCAGCACTGGGAGCTTTTCCCACCGCGAAAGCTCCATTTGCATGCTCATGGCGTGTGCATATGGAGCGCGCGCTCTTGCATAGCCAGAATTTGCCTGCATGTGTATATAATTTATCATGTAAAACGTGTTTTTGGTGAATAAGTATATTTCCACCTTCTATTCCATTTCACATCCACTTCCTCTGCATATTTATTGCAATCCGGAACACTTCAGCAGCTTTCGATGGAATGTGATATTGCCTGAGACAGTTCTTGGACATCTGACACTGTAGCGAGCCGTGCATATCTTTCGGCATATCTACAATTATATTTCTGCACATGAATGGACTCCCAACTCGAGGACATTTATTTGAATTTTTAATCTGATGTGCCGAGGCAAAAATCTCAGAGGAATGTTAAGGAATTCGTGACAGAAGAAAATTCCTGTCTCAAGAGAGGAAAAAGAGTTGAATATTCTTCTGTTATGTCAGGAATTCTGGGTCAAACGGTGATGAAGATTTGCTACTTTCTGCAATAATATACTGTCAAATAATTAATTTATGCCACGCCCACTGCAAAGCTCCGCCCTCTTTAATGATACTTCAACACACTCCGGTTTTGTGTTTGCTTATTAAAATACCCCTGCACTTCTTCTCAAGAATTCAATATTGTGAGAAGCTTTTCGTCTATTTCAGTGAAAATGCCGAAGCAGGTGAAAATACCCATTCGAGCCTAAATTATGTACAAACTTCCTGAAAGCCAACTCACTTCCGTGGCGAATGCCAGCCATCGTGAGGGATGCTGAGGACTTTTCCATGTCACGGGGTGAAATTTATGAAATGAAACAAAGATGATAAATTTTGAGCCATAAAAAAAGTCTGCGTGTATGTGGCAAAAACTGCAAACTTTTCAGCATACATCCAACTCTATCGCTGTGGTTTGGGTGGAATTTTGCGTCCTCCTTATTGGTATTTGGTACATAAAAGGGGAGAAAAATTATGTATGAAAAGTGCGAGGGACGCCCCGTGGGCTGAGAGTGAGAGTGTAATAAAATATTTCATGCATCATTCCGAAGCAATTGACATTTATGGACGTATTTATGGATTAGAGTATGTTATTCCGCCCTGCCAGTTAATAACTGACGAATCACATTATTGTGATCGAATGGCACTCCAGCACGATCAAAGGGCACGCTTGGGGAGTTGATTGGGGGCGGCGGGTGGCGGGTGAGGAGCAGCCAAAGTCGCTGCAATTTCCTGGGTTAGAAGACCCAATTCATTTCCCAAGCTATTCATGTCACGAAGAGCGTCGAGAGAGCGGATGAAATTGAATAAAAGACAACCCCAATTTTCGACACCATCCACCAAAGACATCATCAATATGTCAGGAGCATAGTTTTAAATTCAACTTCCAACTTTCAACTATTCGTGATGAGAGACAACGCAGAGAAAGTCTCCTAAGAGGAGGGTGAAAAAGTTTCCTTGTCAGGTTGCCTTCCGTCCGCCCTCGAAATTTCCCATCCCCGGCGCGCGAGCACGGCAAAGAATGGCCCGAAAATGGCCAAACGCAGGACAGCAGCAAATGGAATTTTCAATATATATGCTAATTACGTAATTTTCACTACCATATGAGCATCATTTCGGCATCACGGACTCACTGATGGCTGGCAAATGAAATATGAATAATTAATAAAATACAAGAAGGGGTCGGGAGCCCTTGTCCCCATTTGAAATGTAATTCACACTCATTACAGATTCTTTCGCGATAATTTATTGATAGAAAATGTGAAAATTTCCCGCGTCGACTGAGGAGAGTCATGCGCGAGTATTAAAAGGGAGATAAATTAATTGGATTTGTGTGGGTGGAGAAGAGACATCAATTAATATTCTGCTATTTCACCGGCAAGATCTTCCTGCAATTTTAACGAGAATTCGTTAAAAATTCACAAAAGACGCGTACCTGGCAAACAGGAAACTTCCATAGGATTTGCGGAGTGGAGGAGAGCTGAGAATTTGGAAATCAGATTCAACAATAACCTAGCCTGAAAGTCACGAAGAAGCCACGGAATCAGGAGTGTTATTTATAGACTTATTGTTTAATGTATAAACAGATTTGAGGTATTTCTTCACTTAAAGATCTGATTTGCATTCCAACAGTCTTTCTTCTTGTTTACATTCACATATTTGGTTACACAAATGCGAGACCTTTCAAAACACTGCGCAGTTTCTCACCCTGTTTCTTCCTCTTTTCCCGGCAGACGTGTTACGAGATGGAACAGTACCTCAAAGACGAGCCGAAGCTGCAGTCCTACAAGAAGCTCCCCACAGACTTGGACACGCCGTGGGACCTCTTCACGGCGCCCACCGTGTCGGCGTCGTGGAAGGTCGTGGACCCGCTGTGTCTGGACGAGATCAACCTGGGCGAGCGGCCGCTCGACTCGCTGTCCATGAGCTCGGCGTCGTCGGCGTGCTCGGGCGTGTCGTGGGACAGCAGCCTCAGCTGCGCCGTGGTGGTGAAGAAGGAGCGTCTGGACGACGAGTACGAGGACAACTCGGACGGCTGCGAGGAGCACTGCAAGATGCTGCAGACAAAGACGGAGAGCGCCATCGAGCTGAGACTCGTGGCGCGAGCCGCCGATCAGACTGACCTGCTGCCCACGCTCACGCCACCCTCGTCGCCGGAGTCCGTGAGGAACAACGGCGCGCCGGAGGAGCTGGCGCTGCTGGGCCACCAGGGCATCCTCAGAGTGTCTCCCAACGGCCACCTGCCCCGCAGTGCACTGGTCCGCTTCACGGCGGCCGGCAAGAACGCGCTCAGCGTCACCCGCTTCATCCAGGTCAGCCAGCGGCTGCCCTCGGGCTCGTCGGCTCGTGCCGCCAACTCGCCCAGTTCACCCACAGTCACAGGTCAGTACCGAGTCCCAGCCACGCCCCCAAATCAGCTGCCGAGAGCAGCTTTCCCCGAGGCCTGACAAGGCTTTCACAGTCCATTTTGCCAATGTCACCCACAGGATTACCATTTGCACAGACTTTCCGAGACATATTTTCCATCTCCACTTGTGACAAGGCGGGCAAAAAGTGCACTTGCGAGAGTGCTAAAGAGGTCGAATAAGCCATTCGACACTTTTCCAATGTTTGAGAAGCACTCAGCCGTAGTGCGATTTGAGAGTTATGCAAAATTCAATTCCTCCGATTTCTTCAGGATTTCTCTCATTGCATTCAACACGGAGGTTTTTTCCTGCTTAGAGAACAATTAATCTAGATTCTAGAATTCATATTTGTTGAACTATTTTACAAACTCTTGTGATAAGTTAATCCCATATTGTACAATTGCACCAAAATTCTAATCGTTCCAACAGAAGAGTGAATTTTTCTCTGTGCAGATACATTCTAGTGTAATCTGTCTGAGAACTCATTCACCATTTCATTGAGGAGAGCCATAAAACTGAGCTCAGTGTCATCTCTGACCAATTCGTACATTTCAATGTGACGTCAAACTCCTCACTTTGTTGATTGTTTGCCCACGAGAGTTGTCCCTTTTCCTTCCCAGTGGGACAGAATTAGATTTATCTGCAATTCAATTGGTGGTGGTGAGGGTGAAAGTGCACAAAAGCTGTGGGAAATCATGATGAGAGGGTTGAACAACCCGAAAAAGCCATCGCTAAACAATGTATTTCATTGTGAATTGCAGGAAAACATCACCAAAGACAACACGACCACAGTCCAGACTCGAAGCGACGGATACACAAATGCCAATTTCTTGGTTGCAAGAAAGTCTACACGAAAAGCTCACATCTGAAAGCTCACCAAAGAACACACACGGGTAAGTTTTCACTTATATTTCACATTCATGTGCTGCCAAAATGTCGAGATGAGTGAGGAAAAGTGGATGAATTTGCGGAATTTTGTGGAATTTCGAGAGCCTTTGATGCAATATTGAGATTGTTTTGGGGTTGAATCACACACATATGTCTAATATCACGGAATATGGATTGGAAATAAAGTTTTTATTTGCTGCATCGATATGGGGTATCGAATAATTGAACAACTTTCCTAATAACACGAGAGCGAAAGAGATTATCAATGGGCGATGGTGCGAGAAGGAGTGCGAGACGCTTCGGGAAATGGGGAAAAGTTCCGAGAGAAAGATGATAGTTAATCCAAATTACACAGCATCTTGTGTGCTTCTCTAATTCAGAGACTATCGATTGCGAGAAATGCTCCACGTTTTCCCATTGTTTCCTCTCTCTCAAAGCGCTTTGCCTGAAGAAATCCATCTATCGGATTTGCGCGCTCATCTCTGGAAATGATGTACAAAAATTTACCAGCCAAAACACTCGCAGATTTTAAATGAATTCATCCTTCAACCGAAGCCACCATAAATATTCCTAATCGTTATTAATGTTGGTTGGGATTTTAGGCCACAAAAATAGACATGTTTTCCTTCGACATTTTCAATGGCAACAGCAAGAGAGGCGATATTTTCCCTCCGTGGATTGATTGATGAAGCCCACCAGCGAACGGAAGGCAGAAGATATTTGATTTATTTGTACTTCATTAGTGGGAAGGATCAAGTGCTTCTTTCCACTAGGCAAATGTTTCATTTGCAGAAAGTTCACTGGCTTTTGTGCCGATTGTTGTTGTTGTTGCTCCTCTTCTTGTGGCTCTGCGATGGAAAGTTCGCCAAGAGCCCTCGGTTGGGTGTCAACCTTCCCTCTGTGCGCCTTCCTTCCGAATCATTTAGGGCCTTTTCGAGGTGTCTGACTGCCAAATGGCTGTGATTGCTGAATGGGATTGATTATTCTTTAATGCCACCCCTTTTGAATTCACCCAATTCGCCTTCCGTTCACCAGCGAACACAAATGAATAGATAGAAAAGTTAGCATCTTTTGAGGCACATTTCCTCGCCACAAGTTTGGCAAGAGTGATTGTTTTACTTAAAGATTTGAGAGAAAACATTGCGGCAAAATGCTTGAGAGAGCGTCACTGAAGCGCGAGAATCGCGTCAGAACTTCGATTTCAATGGCGTAAAAGCACGACTTTTGGTGGGTTTTTGTGCCCACGAAAGGTTGAAAGTTAAGGGAAGATTTTGCAGGGGAAAATACAGAACAGCATTGATTGGTTTGATTCCCTAAAATTCATCCACGAAACAAATGGCGGAAAATCATTTTCTCTATGTCAGTGTGGCAAAAAGTGAGGCGAAGGAACACCTGAAATCATTCATTCTCTCTGTGTGTCAGCGGAAAAATTTCCATAATCGTGCCGTATCGCGAAACACAATCCTTTTCCACGGGCGAAACAAGAATCCGGGACCTAATGAATCCTTGAAGACATAAATTAAATTTTCGACAGAAGGTCTCATCAAATATTGACCAAGGAGAAATTACAATAATGAAAAGAAATAATACGGAATATGAGCGAAGCTGCGAGAGACGGAAAAGTTGACATGCACAAATATTTTACCAAATATCCTTTTGTTTGTTGACTCGTCATGTGAAATTTCTCTGCGCAGACTTTCCGTTCTCCCCCCACAAAATTTTCACCCCGGCACTTTCTTCAATATTTTAATTGTATTTGTATCGCTGACAAATTCCCAAAGCTAATGTTTTAATTAAGCTGAGTAAATTCTGGTGATTATTCTCCGAAGGAGTTTTTTATTGAATTAACCGCGCGCTGGGCTAAATATTCAGATTGAATTGCTTCCCCGTGGGATTTGTGGCGTGGGCGGGTTGACAGTGTGTTCAATCTGCAGATCGAGCCGGCTTGATTGACGGTTTAATCATTTTGCAGCGGCCGCATATCAATAAACACGTCTCGAGTGTCCGTCTTGATTTATAGGCGTCCTCAGATCATCAATAATTAACTCCTCGCCAATCTGAGCAATCAGGGAGGAGATGAATTTCACATCAACAAGCGCAACATTTTCCACTCACACACGCCGACGAGCTTTTCCCAATTGAGCTTCCAACTGCGCGCATGAGTTAATTTCATGTGCATAATCACATAATTAGAATATTATCTGGCGGAGACTCGAAGTTCAGGGAATTTTCCTAAGCCAAACAGTGACGGAAATTGATCCAGTGCTCTAAGCCCAAATTAAAATTTATAATCTCGTTTTTCAAAGTCTTCTCGTCGGTCTCGTCTCTCAAGGAATGCGCCACATATCTCATGTGCCCAAGTTTCTGTGTGTGCGATGCAAAAGCCCTCCTTAAATGCTCTCATGCATTCTGTATGAGCATTATATGCAGAATAATTCAAATTCCCACTCGGTGGGCTTGCGAATATTCACCATCATAACTCCTAATTGGTCTGTTTTTACTTGCGCATAGACAAAATTGAAAATGTAATAAAGCGGAATTTCCACACCGGGGAAAATTGCTTTGCATTATAATAATTATATTATGGAGTGATTCAAGTTTTAATTACCAGCCGCAATTTGTATTTGTTTGTCCAAAAATTCTACTGCATAATTAAAACTAAATCATCGATTTGGTTTTGCATCAAAACACGCGCGCAATTTGCCATCTCAAATTTAGCATGAAGAGCGCCATAAAGAGAGGAAATGATGAAATCGGAAATTTTCGTGTTTGACTCTTTAAAATGGGTGAAATTGCGATTGAAGCTGTCAAACACGCCTTCAAAATCATCCCCACACCCCGTGGAAATCAGACAAATTTTAATACACGCAAACTTCTTCGAAGGTTTTCCTTAACTATGTATGAAAAGCGGAGTGATGAGAATCAATATTTTTAATAAAATAACTTAGGGGCGTCTGAACGGAGACTGTGGAATCCGTCGCCGAGATGAAATGCAATTTTGAGACATGATGAACTTTATTCCATTCTTCAACTTTGATCATTAGAGAGAGAGTTGGAGAAAGAGCGAGAATTCCAGCAGTTGTAGTGACATTTTATTAATTTGAATTTTCCCCCGTCGCCGAGCTGAGATTGTAGACGACGCGCTAATTGGAAAAGTGTGCACCATTGACACTTCCGTCTCTCTCTCTCCATCATTTTTCCTGTCATCCTCATTTGCATGACAATGTCTTACGCGCCCTCAGAGCGTCGCCACCCTCATTATTGCCAACATGGATGCTACGTATCCGCCAATAAACGAGTGAATTTTATTGTATTCCACTGAGTTGTACTTAATAAATTTGCGGCTGCGAACAGGGGATGTACATATAAATTAAGGGGCTGCCAAGCGAGGAGCTCCAATTTGACTAATTTCTAATCTATATGCAAAAGGTGTTTTCGGAAATTTGCTCAAAGTGATAGATAAACTCCTGCGGTAATATACGCCCTCTCTTCCCTCAAAGTTTTAATGATTTTGACATGGTTTTATATGGTAATACATGGGGATTATTGCACGAGTGAGATCCCACATACAAAATAAGAAGTCTCTCAACCCCAACATCACAATCAACTACTTCTTCGGCAGCCGCGCAAGCTTCAGTGGCGTTGTTTTGTAAGCAAATGAAAGCGCTCCTCATGCTAATCCCGCCAACACTCAACTAATTTCGCACGATGGCATTAATCAGCAAGAGGATTTCCGGTATTGATTCTCACCCAAGCTTCTCAGGGCTCCAGCCATGCCGATCAATACTGTATTTGAGTAGGAAACTTTGAAGTTCAGAGTACAATTTGAAGGGTTTTCAGCAATCTTATTCGTCACACACTGAAACTCATACATTTTTATGACTAAAAGCATGACTTTCTGGCAAAATCAAGACGAAGAAATAAGAAAAATGTTGACTTTGCATGTGGAGAAGTGTCTTAAGAATGCACAAATCCTTCACAATCGCAGCTGAAGAGAATCTAAATGCCAACTAAACTTCATAAGATTTCCTCATAGCAAGAATTCGGCAGGCTTTGTGCGCTCTTCTATCGCGTTTGCCCTAAATTCTGGCAAATAGCTCAGGATTTTTGCATAATAAACTATTTAGGATGACATAAAATTTCCCTGCGAATGGCTGAAATTTTACCCTCTCGCTGTTGAAAGTTGAGGCTGATATCCGAGGAATTTCCATCGGTACAAAGTTGAGAGAATAATATGGAATTTCTATCAAGGTAAATTATTCCAATTATTTCGGGGTTGTATGAAGAGCTCCAGTGAAGCATCTCACCGGGGAGCCTTTTAAGCGATTCGCCTCGTTAAGGATTACAATTTCTGCGGGAAGATAGTTTCACTCAATGTCGACGGGGGTGAGAGACAAAAGATTCCTGTGGGGGTGGCAAATTAATCAACAGGTAGTTCGTGCATATGTAACTTCATACTTGCTCTAATTGAGGTGCGCTCGTCGGGAATTCTTCCACCGCGGTGACAATGCGCGAATTGACAGCACGGCGAAAAGGCTCGTCTGACCGCAAATTGTCAACACTTTTCCGCCCATTTCGCCCGCGCAGCGCTGGACATGACAACCCAGTTCACCACCGAATAAATCAATTGGGTAATTGCAAAATTAGTCATAACTCAATTTCGGTAATTTTACAATTCACCACAAAGTGGGTGGCCCCGAATTTGGGGGCGGCGAGAGGCGCCCCAAAAGAGCTCTTTAGTCGTTGACTCATTGTGAGCAAAAATGACCCAATAAATCAATATTTACAAACATCTTGTAATATTTTGCCGGCAGGACTGGCAGTCATAAATCAAGGGCGGCCGGAGGAGAGGGTGGAATTCGCTTCTCGCACAATGCCAGAGCATAACTCTCAATACAAAAGTTATGCAGGAGCGATGCTGAGTGGGTGGCAAAAGTATCGACACCGAAATTCTTCATTCAATACCTTTTTCACATTGGCGAAATGCTGCCGGAAGAATAAGAAA